TGACTGTAGTTGACAAAGTTACTTATGGTTAGTAGAATGTCTAAAGTGGACTATCGAAATAAAGTGTAACCAAAAATTCTAATGAAATGGCACACAGAGCCGACTTATATAAGTCGGCTGCACTCCTTTTGGTGGGTTGAAGCGCCATTGGTACGTGCAGCTACACAAACGTGAACAAATCAGGCTTCAGTATTCAGTGTATACAGGAGTTTCCCCATGGCGTGTTACGTAACGACCATTCAAAAGAGAACCTCAGATTTCCTATGAAATCTTCATTGATTCAATATCAAACTTCCAGAGAGCTATGAGAGCAGCTAATAATAAATATTTTTTCAGACATTATTGACAAAAACTATCATAAACCCAATATTATTTTTTTGACCATAAATGCTATTGTCAGTCCTCCTATTTCGAGTTTCCCAGATACGTCTCCACAATTATGTAAAGAATTTATTTCTTATTTTACTACAAATTACTAGAATTTTTACTCACAAATTTGTCATCTCATGCTATATCATCTGTTTCTATCATGAATTATTCATTCACTGCAGTGCTTAATTTGTAAATTGCGAGGTCCCGGAACAAAGCGGGGTGACGGATCCAGCATGTGATTAGAGGAGGGAGAGGTAACGGAGCATTCGCACAATGGAGGACCAGCTTACGTGATTAAGAGCGTGCATCTTCTTACGGTCATGAAAAATCATGAAATTTTAAAACAGCAATTTCCAGGCCTGGAAAAGTTTTGGAAAAGTCATGTTTTTTTTTTCTCAAATCTCTGGATAATAGAACTATGTTTAATCAGATTTTGAGTTTATAATGAGGGAAATTCCTGCAAACATTTATTCAATAGAGCATGTAGGCTAGAAAACAGTGATTCAGTGATTCAGCTGTACCGCGTCTTCTCTCTCTCACTCTCAAAGTGCTTCACAACAGCGCATCTCGTCTGCACTACTGCACGCTGCGATACAAGACTTTCGCTTGGGTTTCGGGACAGTCGACAGAATTCGAGTCATTGTTGCATCATCACAAAACTGTATCATTTGCACATCTTTTTAAGTTTAAGCCATTAGATACTCGCATGTTCCAAAGGGGGTTTTCTGTGCGCTCAGTCACGTCCAAAGTGCGCGCATATAAAGCCGCCTCGCGAGTACCAAATTGAGTTATTTTTCGCAGCTTGTTGTGCTTACATGACCAAATACACACAAAATGACGTCAAAATGGCCATCCTGGCGAGTATCCTCGTAAGCAGTCAGTTTTGTCTTAACTAAATGTAAACATCTGAGAAAGAAAACGCATGTGTATCAGTATTGGATCCGTGCATTCGGGTTTGTGAGAGCAGCCACATCTTGTCTCTTTGCGCTCAAGTTTGTTATTTCAAATGTAGATGTGCGGCAAGCGCGCTCATAATAGAAGTTTTTTCATAAAATATATCATTTAATTTAATAATTTATGCATTTAGCAGACGCTTTTATCCAAGCGACTTACTTCATTGGTGCGTGAGAAGGGGATCTGTCAAGTCAAATGAGGTGCCGGATCGGATTTCGGACAAATTCTGATGTGCCGGATCCGGCTTGTTCCGGCACAAATTAAGATAGATCAATAGTAGATAAATTAAAACCTACTGCCACCCTGCAGACAGTATTCCTTCAATTTGTATTATTATTTTTTTTTAAACAGATTGCTAAAACTATAGGATCCAGTCTTCTTCTTTTCATTAATAAATTTCTTTGTAATGGAACAGTACCTAATGACATGAAATCTGCAACAGTCAGGCCTCTTTTTAAGAAAACAAACCTTTACCCTTTTAGTTTTTTTTTCTTTTACTTTCTTTCCAATTTTAGGGTTAGGGTTATTTCCTTTTATGTCAAAGATATTAGAGATTTGTGTTTAATTAATTACAGTTTTCCAAAATTACTAACCACTCAGCATTTTCACTGGCCACTGTTTTGTTTTGGGGAAATTACAATTTATATGATTAAAGCTGACTGCTGCATACTTTATAATTTATTTAAACTGATTTCCAGGTCATTTTTTGCCTATATAAAGGGCAGTTTTTGTAGCATAAATGCATTTACACTGCAAAAATACAACTTTCATAAATAGTTATGTTAAAGTTTTTAATATATAAATATGAAATGTTGGATGTTGGATCATATTTTAAAGCAATGATAGATTACTTTAAAGGTCCCATATTGTCCAAACTGAAATTTCCTGGCTTTTTTCACGATTACTGAGGTCTAGGAGCTATTTAACTACCATATAAGTTTCAAAACAGTCAGTCCACAGTAAAATGCACACAGCCTCCTTAAAGTTCTAGCTATTTTTCACGAACCGTTGTGACTTCCGTAAAAAGTTGACGTCAGAACTACACAGTCACTGCCTCCTGTGGTTGGCCTGGCCGTGCGTCACTCAGAAAACAACAGGCCAATCAGAAGAGAGGCTCATGAATATTAATTAGACAGGCCAAAATCGACCTGTTCTCAGCAGAGCTCCTGAGAGAGGAGCTGTAAAAATATATTGAGATGGTTTTTGGTACTTATACCGCAAATATATATTCTCTTAAGGACATCAAAACCTCAAATAAAACTCCAGAAAGGTGTACAATATGGGACCTTTAAAATATGAAAGTAAACCGCCAGCAAGTGACTGTCTTAAGGAGTGAGTCACTGAGTCATTCATTCAAATTTCATTCAAATGATTCTTTAAGACAGCTCATTCATTCAAAATGAAGCAAGTGCCTGTCTTTATGAGTGAGTTATTGAATCATTGACTCACCCAATTCATTCAAAATGCTGAATCATTCAGTAAAGGAAAAATTAACCAAATTGAGCAAAAACATCAACATTGACAATTTTGTGTCTAAAATTTAAGTCACTCAATATTAACTACTTCTTATCTGAACTCTTATATTAAAGTCAATATCAAATTCTATACTGGTTTTCAGTTAAAAATGCATTCTCTTGGTCATGTCATGTTGCTTAACTAGGCTGTATCATATATTATAAATATAAAAACTACCTTTTTACCAGAGCATGTTTCTTCTGTGTGCAGCTGTGTTCATTTGTTTTGATTTCTCAACAAGATTTTCTCACACACAGTCAGGCTGCACAAGCATCAACTGGCGTGACTTTGTTAGCCTACTGTCAATACATTATCCATTATCAATGGCCGATTGCACCAAATGTAATAAAATCAGAATCATTCTCACAGAAATGTCGGTGCTTCCCTAGTTAGTGGTTTTAATCAGGTCAGTTGCCCCTTCAAAAATTCCACTTTTCCTAGACAAGCATTAATGTCGATCTCAGTTAATGCATATAAAATTTAACCCGCTAAAGTGGCTAGTGGGAGTAACTGTGTTACACGCCACAGCTGAAATCCACCCGCATTTGGCAGGTGTTAATGTCAAGCCCTGGTCCTAATACTTCTGGACAGCAGCCTTTGATACAGTTAATCATTCCATTCTTATTTCTTGTTTAGAGCACTATGTAGGCCTGTGGGGTAATGTCCTTCAATGGTTTATGTCTTATTTGATCAAAAGATGTTATACAGTCAATATTGCAAATTGTGCATTGTTCTTGGCCAGTCTTACCTGTGGAGTCCCACAAAGCTCCATTCTCACTACCATTTTTTTTTCTCTTTCTATCCTTCCACTGGGTGATATTTTCAGAAAACACAGAGTATCATTCCATTGTTATGCAAATGACACCCAAATTTACTTGCCATTAAAAAAATAAGATACAAATGCTTGAGACAATGGCAGCCTATTTTAAAGATCTAATGAATTAGATGTCCCTGAATTTCCTGCATCTAAATGACTTTAAGACTGGGATTATTGTATTTGATTAAGTACACATTTTAGTTTATAAATCTATTAATAACCTTGCTCGCTTATATCTCTTCTACCTTCTTCAATTCATTAGCCACCTAGATCACTTAGATCCGGTAATCAAATTTTACTAAAGGTGCCAAGAAGCAGATTGAAATACAGGGGTAGAGTGTTTGAGGCGGCTGGTCTTAATCTTTGGAATAGTCTACCACTACACATTAGATCAGCATCCACTGTATCTATATTTTTAGTCTAAAATTAAAATTTATTTGTTATTCCTGCTTTTCAATTTATTTATTTTGTGGTTAGGTTCTTTTATGAGTTAAATATTATGTACTTTATGATGCTATGTGAATTTCGAATCTGTATTATTATTATACTTGTTTGTACATCTTTTTATTGTACTGCTGTAAAGCACCTTGGACAATGCATGTTGTATTGTATGGTGCTACATAAATAAAACAAAAAATGACAAAAGCTCCACCATTCTGGGCTTTATAGAAAAGTGGCCAGACTGAACACTTTCCTCAGTGCAAAATGCATGAAAGCCAGAATTAGCTAAAAAGCAATGGCTGTCTACACATTGTATCCATCTAACCTGACAGAGCTTGAGAGGATTTGTACAGAAGAATGGCAGAAAATCCTCAAATCCAGGTATCACATCATAGCCAAAAAGACTTGAGGTTGTAATTGCTCTCAAATATGCTTTAGCTAAGTACTGAGTTAAGGGGTCTGAATATTTAAGTCAATGTAATATTTTAGTTTTTACTTTTTATAATGAATTTGCAAAATTACTTTTGTCATTATGGGGTACAGTGTGTCTGAGGTCTGAATAATTTCTGTATGGTATACGGATTAATCAGTCTTTATTTGACAATTTTAAACATGGGCAAGATTAGTGATAACCATACCCATAAACAGGAAAGCAACCCTTTTGTCAATTCTAAAATCTACTGACAGTCTTGTCACAAAATAATTTAAAAATAAGTGAAAACAATAAACTGTTTCATATAATTTAAATCTTATTTGTCATAATTAAACTGCAATATGTGGACATGATATCTGCATTGTATCTGTACTGTATCAGCCACCTCTATACATCAGAATCAGCCATCACAAAAAACATACTTGTCCACCACTATTATTTGGGGAGTGATTATGTGCACAGACTCACAGGGGACTCATTCTCTTTTGCCTCCTTAACTCTGCTCTCTTCCAGTTTCTGCAACAAACATGAAAAGAGAATCAAGAAGTGCCAAGGCAATACAGTTAAGAGCAATAAAAGCTCAAAAATACAGTCTCTTTGCCAGCAGATGGCTACATAGCAGCAGGCAGTAAGTAAAGTACTATTTTCAGCCCATGTATGAATGATACAGGTAAAAATAAAAGAACCAGCTTTTAGATTGCTGAATGACTAAAGAAACGTTATCAGCATTTATTGTTTATTACCACCCACTGCTACTAATACCTGTAAAGGAAATATTATGCAAAATGACTATATTGTATAGATACACATAGACACAAAGGTAGAGAGACAGATTATCTTGAGGCCTTTAACCCAGTTGTCCAGGAAGGCATATGACATTTATATTCAGTTATATTATAGAAAAATGCAACACAAGATAAGACAAAAACATAGTAACATAACACAAATGTTTTTTTTTTTTCATTTTGTACCTTGAATAAACTGATTCACATTTTACCAGTTTGAGTTTTTAAATAATATATCATAACTATTTAGTTATATAGTAATTGTTTTTCCTTTACATCAGTGCATAAATACACTAGCAAAAACAATGCTAGACCAGCACTATAACAGCTTTGTCCAACAGGAAATGAATGCTGGTTTATGCTGGATTCTTCAGCAGAGGTATGGTGCCAGGGCTAGAGACTTTGGTTGTCTTGCAGTTGACAATAATTGTATTAACCTGCTTAGGCTGTTGTTCACTCACAATTTTTAAACGATGTGAGGGGATATAAGGACAAGGCTGAGAAATTTGGACGAGGTCAGTCTGTTATTTCCTTAATATGAAAGCTTCAGTGATAAAAAAAACAAGACAAAAATGCTTCTGCTCACAGAGTTTGTTAAATGGATGTCAACAAGAGACAATGCATTTTTTTAAAATTAATTATGTAATTAGCAATATAAATGTATTTTAATAAAAATACATGCAGGGCACAGCACACATGCCACTTCACACACAAATACACAGCCTCCAGTGATGAATGAGAAACTTTCTGTGCAATTATCAGTCACAGACATGGACTGGTGGGGGAGATCAAACATTGTACATCATTCAACACTTAATATGCAGAAAGAATGACAAAAAAATTGCCTTTGCCATATGCTTTGTAGAGTTTGGAATAGGAATGACACAAGACACTGTTTACTTAAAATTTGTAGATAGGAACCACTTCTGCACCTCTTAAAATCTTGAATTAGAATTTAATAACTATTTTAGGTTAGTATTTATAGCAACTTTATGAACTTTCATTGCAAATACAGCAACTGGAGCATAGAAAATCCACAATGTTCAGTATGAATATGTAGGAAAGAAATTATATTTATACTCTTACATGATCAGAGATGTCTTTGACAGGAGCCTCAGAGCCATTAGAATGCAGTTCCATTTTAACTTCTCCTTTTCTCAACATCTGGGCTGCACTCACTGCACTGGGGTCTTTCTTGGCAACAGGGGGCTGATGAATAAAAAAGGAAAAAATAGTTACATTAGTATGTGGGGTAAACAATATGTCTGCTGAGTTTTTGTTATATTTGTTATAAGTAATATTACAAATAGTAATATTAAGTAAAATCTGTTTTGTTCCAAGTTAAATTAGATGTATAACATTCTAACAGTATAACAGATTTAAAGACCATGATCTACACAAATATGAGAGAGCGCTGTTCATTCACTCCCCCCACCTACAATCCCTGCCGGTACGAGACTCGAACCCGCAACCTTTGGGTTACGAGTTCGACTCTCTAACCATTAGGCCATGACTTCCCCTAAATGGGGAAGCATACATCGCATACATGATGTGTATGTGATCAGTAATGACATTAATGACATGTTTCAGATGATGCAAAAAATGTGCTTGGTATCCAACACATTTTTATTTCACAGTAAAACAGAAGAGAAAAACTATATCTTTTGTATGTTTTGTATGTAACAAAAAGTTTTACTATTGTTAGACATTTAATAAATATATAAATTGAATATAAATTCCCACTCTGCTATTTATGTCTAGAGGAAACCATTTCTCACTAATTTTATGTATCATTTTTATTCTTTTCCATAATGATGATTTTTTAAAATTAATTAGCTATTTATTTATTTATTTATTGCACAATGGGTAAATTTCACATTTATACTACAAGGGGCCTTAAATTAAAATCCAAATGTTTTCAATGGATTTATTATTGCTATTGCAGTCTTCACTTCAGAAAATCTCCTCCAATTCAATGCTATGATTGAATCGTTGTGGATGACCTTTTGATTTAGGAATTTCCTATTATTAAATAATAAACACAATGAAGTAGAATGAAAATAATTAAAAATAACAAATCAAAATGTTACCAAAGCATAAATGATATTGACAGAAAAAAGGCACAAAACAATTTGCAATAAGATAATGTAGTTTAAAATATGTAATGAATGTCACAATTCTGCAGATCTCTTCCTCTTTTAACCTGTTTATGGAATACAAACTCGCCCTTACAGGTTCTATATCTTGACGACCACAACCTTCAAGGAAATGTTCTCTTCCAGGTGATACATCTTGCAAATTCATGTGACAGGTGGAGTGAGACCAGGGAGTGTTGTCAAAACTCTCCCTGCCCAGCTCTACTTTGTCCTTCTCAACCAGCTCAGTCATGCCTCTAGAAAATTCCTCCACGCCACTGTGTAAGTCCATAATGACAGTGAAATCCACCTCAGCTTCCAGGTTTGAAATGGAGCTGACAGTCATACTTGAACATTTCCTCTCGATGGCCAGGTAGGTGTCCTTCAAGCCAGCAAACTCACGATTATAGTCGTCCTCCAGGGCAGAGTGAGACTGCTGTTGTTGAAGAAAGAAAAGGGGCAGCATTTTTCTACATCACATATGAATGAAACAAACAGTAATGATGGAGATATGAAGAAATCATGGGCGTGCTTTTGAGCTGTTTATAATGCTTGAGTGAAATGATCCAGTGTAATGATCCAGTCATGAGATCATATATGTTGATGCATTCTATTCTCACAACAGGTAAAAATTATCATATGGTTTGCAGTAGGCATGTGGCGGTTTCAAATTTTTATATCACTATAATTGTGAAGATTTTGTCACAATAAACCAGTACTGTACTACCACAGAACTTAAGTACATTAGAATGTAGAAGTGTAGACAAATGTTTAAAGTTGTTTTAAGTTGTCTGAGAAACACCATAGAGAATACAAAAATCTGAATAGCTTTTTCAAACATTTACATAATGTTTAACTTCCTGTCTTCTGCAGGACAAACTAGTGTCAGAAACAGAAAATGGTACAACGCTGCTTTAGGTAACAGTAGTAACTGCTGTATTTATGCTGTTCTATAAGTGCCACCTACTGTCAGAGAGTGAATTTGCATTTTCATTCAGGCCATCTGCCATTTTTGTTGAAATATTTTTAACTGGTTAATGGAAAAGAAGCTAATGTACATTCTGAAAAAATTAAACAATTAAGATAATAGGGCATCTAGAATTATTCATGGTATTTAAGTGCCCATGATAACAATGCGTTGCATGTTCATTACAGCAAAATAGGCTACCATAATACCAAATACCGGCACATGTCTAGTTTGTAGAAGAAAAAAAATGAAGTGACTGAAGACAATGTGCATGATTTTGAATTGGGTCACCTTTTTAAAAGGTTACACAAACAACAACTACTGTCAGATGTCATTCTAATTTTCTAATTATTCTGACCACTGATGGAGCAAGCACAGTAAACTTGTCACTCGGAACAGATAGAAAGCATTCGAAAGCATGATTTTAATGTTGTTATATTGGTGTTAAAAGAGCCTAGAAAATTAGTAGAAAATTAGTAGAAAAGAGTAGAAAATTAAGCCTTTTTAAAAAACATGCAAGAACATGCGAACAGTGTGGAATGAGACACCTTAACAGCATATTGTGGGTCTTCAAGAAGAGAAATAGTGGACAGAGGCTCCTGTAAAGGAAAAGCAGAACAAGAAAGAGAGAGAAGCAGTCTAAAGTTAGCTGTGTTACTGAAGCAACACACCAGGAAAGAAAGACATACATTGCAACCTAAACACACACACTTATTTAAATCACTTTGTAAGTGACTATAAAATTCTCTTCTTAAAATGTGATTCTTGACTTAAATTTTAGATAATAAAAACATAGAGATCTCATTTAACATGCCGGGGTTCTTCACATAATCTAGTGGGTTTAAAAATGAACCAACTAGTTTTAAAATAAATTTTAAAGAATCAAAGAATTAACTAAGAATTAGTATTTAATAATCATGAAGTTGTCTAGCTTTCAGGATCTGATAAAAACAACCATACAAGAAAAAATAAAGGATCCAAATGACAAACTTACAAGAAAGTAAACATTTAGTAACAGAAGTTTAACAGTTAATCGGTTCAACAGAACAAAATGCAGTTTTGAGTAACATTGCCTATTGAAAACCCATTAACCCATTTTCTGGGTTAATATCAGAACAATGACTTCATTCTAGAACCTAGAGAACTGTCTACTACCTACATTGGCAGCTACATCCAGTCTTTGGACAAAAAAAAAAAACCTCTTAAGGGACTGATTTAGAATGTTCTACTTAGGGAGCAACTCCATGTGTCACAAACTGCACTACTCACACAAAGCGTATGGAAGACTTGATCACAACCAGTGTTGGGCTTGTTACTTCAAAAATTTAATTTATTACTCGTTACTAGTTACTCCTTTCAAAAGTAATATTATTACTTATTACTATCTGGCAACAGTAATTAGTTACACTACTAGTTACATTACTTTTACTTCACACTCCACAGAAGTTGTAATTGTGTATCTTCCCCATAAAATTATTCTAAAATGTTACTAACAATATATTTCTGCCTCATCATTTGACCAAAATCTACATTGGAACGCAGTCAGAAGATTTTTTTTTTCAAACACTCAATGGTGACTGATAGTGACTTTTAAGTAAAGGTATTGTATTAATTGTCATGTGTAGCTTGAAGCTAATTGTAGCTACAATTTCTCTGTTACCCATATGATTATATTTCATTAAGTATTTTATCAAAAGAAATAACATAAGTTCATAAGATTTTTAATTATAGTAATATAATTTATATGGGGATCAGAGGGATGTGTAATGGCAATATTTACATCCCCTGAATGTATGCTTTTCCATATTCCAAGATTTCCTGATGCACTCATTACTTCATGTGCCTACGTGAGTCGTGAAAATTATGAAAATAAATCTAGGAATTATTGGATTGTTGGATTTCAAATCAGTAGGGGTTGAGGCATCAAAAGTAACTAAGTAACTAGCTGTGTTATGGATGTAATATTATTAATGAAATCTTATTAGTAATAAGTTACACTACTAGTTACTGCAAAAAGTAATATTACAGTAACTAGTAACTAGTTACTGCCCACACTGCTCACAACTGATGTCAATAGAGTTTGAATGTTAGCATGTTAAGCTAACAGTCTTTGCACCAGTGCATTATGGGAAGGATACATGCAAAGCTGTTTTAAAATTTGGCCAAATTAATGTATTTTAGAAAGCAACATAATTATTAATGTTAAATTAGATTAGCAAATTAAATAATTATTGTTGCAATATTTTTATTATTGTGATATTAAATGCATTACTGGGTAAGTGATTACACAACAAGCATAACAGTATGAATTGGTCATAATTTTTCAGTTTTGAAACAGTTTTGGGACAAAACCAGTAAAAAAATAAAAAGGAAAACAAGCGGACAGTCATGCTCATAGTGATAGAAGATTCATAGCCAATAAAGAAATAAAGTCCAACATGTTGTAAAATGACTAAGCAAATAAATTACAGTATGAAGTGTATTTAAAATATTGTGACTTTGAATACATTACTGGTCATTTCAAAGCTTACACTGCATGATAAAAACTTGCAGAATGGTAGTAATTAACTAATTTGAAGGCAAAGGTCATGTGCAACCAGCATCCAGCTCTCACATGTTGTTGCTCATATATTGCAAATACTTTTTTGTGCCAAAATGTCCTAGAAATCAGTTAAATGGACATGGCTTCAAACTGTTACATTACAGCAGTTTTATTTTTATTATATATATATTGCATTTATTCCATTATTTTGCATTTATGTTTAAACCTCCACACACACACATTATATTGCAGTACCATGTTCAAACAACAGCAGTGGTCATCTCCTAGGCAATATAGCAGATTTTAGTGTACCCATCATGCAGCATTCATTATTTAATGTGACATTCACCACAAAAGGTTCTGTTAAGGGTTGAATGCACAGGCTGTTTACTGTTAGTGTTTCAAAGATTTTCAAAGGTACTATGTAATTTCACTAAATTTACTATGAAGAAATGGGCTATCAAAACAAATGGCCAAAACATTTAACCTCCAACAATTATAAACATTGATGAAATAGTTTTAATATAAATAGATATTTTTGGTGTAGTTGATTGCATATTAAACAGAAAACTACTCATTAATGGTTAAATTGATAACCTCCTCATGGGCAAGCAAACAGTATGATTTTACATGTACTGTAAATACAAGTATGTTTAAATTATAAAAAGAAAAACAATGAATGTGTGAATCAATCTGAAGTTCATGCAATAATTGTCCAGTGACTGAAAATTTAAAAAATGCCATGTTGATTTACCGGAAGGTTCTTTTTGTTGGCTTCAAGAGTTGGGTCTTTGCTGAAATTGCAACTATTGCGCAGAAATAGACCTGATTCTCTTGCTTTCTTTGTTTTGACTGGAGGTGTTGGAGGGGTATTTTTTTGGTTGACTGTGTGTCTGGAGAAGTGAAGTTCTGAAATTCCCTCATCAGTATGCAGAAGATCTCTGTGGACTATTCTGCTGGTATGTTTTGTGGTGTCTTCATTCCTTATACCCCTTTCTTTTGGTGAACTCTCAAGACACTTTATCACTTGATGCTCCGAGCACACACAGATGTCTTTCATAGCTAAAGCTTTCACTAGACTTGTGGTGCAGTTTGCATGGGAATAGTTAGTGTCCCTGCTCTCGAACTTACAGGGGTCAAAGTGTCTCACAAAAGATTCATTAATACTATATCTTTTAAAATTTCCTTTCATTAGTTCAGAGCCTTGACCAATATCTAGATCATCTTTGTAGCCTTGGCTCATTCTCTCAGGTTTTAATGGAACAATTCTTGTTATATCTGTTCTCACATGTCTAGTTAATCTCTGGCTGGTCTTTCTCAGTTCCATGGCCAGTTGGATTCCTGCAGATTCCTCCAGTTCAAAATTGCTTATCTTCTTTTCAAGACCCAACTCTTCAATTTCTTTCTTCTTTGCTTTGCCAGATTTTGCTTCGTTCTCGCTATGATCAAACATGATGACTTTCATGACTTCAAATCTGATATCAGTCTTGACTCTTTTCATCTCATCTTTGCCGGGGCCACAGACTGAAACTTGGTTTTCTTGTTTGTCTTCAGTGTTCATAATCTTCACGTCGTTGGATAACTGCTCTTGACATTCTACAAACTTTCTTGCACCATCAGATTTTCTTGCATCATGCAAACTTTCATACATAATCTTTATTGCTCCCTGATTGGGAATCTGCATGTCTTTTTCCACTACTCTGTCAAACTCTGTGCTTTCTCTAAGCAGTGGTGCAGCATATGTATTTGTGGCTGGCTGATTTAGCTTTTCAGGCATAGATGATGACCATGTGTCTGTTGTTGAGCTGAAATTTTCAGGATGACAGATCACAGTCGCCTTTATAAGTTCAGCATTATTGTCCTCATCAGACTCTACACTATCATGTGTGATGTTTGAATCTTTGTCTTTTGTCTCATACACAAAGTCACTCAACTTCCCCAAGTTTAAGCTTTGAGGTATTTTCTCTCTTCCAACTGTATGTTGAGAACTCTCCCCCATGATGTCCGTAATGGTATTCTTCTTGTTGTTAGGTCGAGACTCAGCAAGTGGTGTAGGCTCTTTTTTTGATATTTCATGAGACAATTTAGATTTAATCTTAGTTGTGACATCTTCCCCTGTGATGATATTTTCCTTAGATTCACCTGACTTTTCCATTAGTGATAATTTTGAGGATGCAAAAGTCTTCATGTGCAATTGTGTCTCATCACCGTCCTCTCTAATTAGCTCAATGTGTGTCATCTTGGTAATTTCCTGTTGTTTTTCTGTCTCCTCCTTTGGAAGGGGATCAATGACCAGAGGAGTTGGAGGTGTAATAGCTTTGTACTTTCCTTTCTCCTCCATTTCATAGTTGAGTAACACCCATTCTTCAGAGTCCTATTTAATAATATAAATTAAAAATGTTAGTTCTCTAACTTGTCATCAAACCAGTAACCATTAGTGAATTTTAAATGTCAAAGGAACCTCATGTGAAGTTACTAGAGTCTTCTGGATGAAGCCCTCCACCGAGAGGCTGTTGTCAGGTTCCCCTACCCCTGCACCAACAGCCTCCTGATAGATGGCCAGGTCCAAGACCAACAGAAAAGAAAAAAGAGGATAAACCAGAAATCATTTTATATTATGAACATTTAAAGAGTAATTTAAGATGTAGAAAGAAAAAAAATAAAATAAAAAAGATAAAAGAAATAGCTATACAAATAAAATTATTATAAATAGTGGGATTTAACACAGCATATAAACAAACATGAATGCATGAATCAGCGTCATGAAAACACAGCAGCAATAATGACTTGGGCAATCATTAAAAATACAATAGCACAACAAAATGCATGAACATAGTGGATAATTGAATATAAAACATTACAAATTAGAATGTTAAAGCAACATGACCTGCATCTCAAATCCATTATTTCCGGTAAAACAAAAATCTGTATCAGCAGACAACAATTAGTTTGGCAATAAACACTACACCCACACCACATAATACTTTCTCTTTTTACCTTTACCAGACTAGTCAATGCAAAATTGCTCCAAAAGGTGTAAGAGTTGAACTGACACTAAGGCTTTTCCTTGTCAATTGAGGGAAAACACATTGCACACAATCAATACAATGTTTACAGCATGATGCACATATACATGATGATTGCAGTCAAACAAGAAAATAGAGATTAAACCAAGTATCAGCACATGTACCAATATTCTGTCATAATGCAGTATTTCCATACTCACTGCCTTCTTCTCTGGAGTGTCGCCTGGGGATGTCCCTGACAGACGCTTTTCCCGGTTCACCAGTTTACTATTGGGCTCCCTCAGGGCCCTCTTCAGCTCGTTGATGCTGGCTTGGTGCTTCAAGAGAACATCTTCTGATTTGTCTAGAAACTACAGACAGTACCAGAGAAAGAACAGCAATGATCAGGAAAACATCTAGTAGGATTTTAAGCATTTATATTTCATTAATGTTGAAAGAGTTATGAGGCTGGTCATCTATTCCTTAAAATTGTATAATAATGCTTGTGATGTGAGTATAGACTGAATAAATACTCAATAACCGAGATACATATGAAAAAAATAGACTATTGTGATGGAATCAGATGTAAATACCATGCCTACCATATCCACGTACCGTGGTATTTGCCTGATATTCCAAGGTAAGCATGGTATATCTTATAAATATTTTATATTTTGTTGTTAGTAATGTACTTTACTGCAGAATGTATGGGTTCTTAATTGATTGATGCAAAAAAGTATAAGAGTGGGTAGTATAACTAACATTCTATATCATAGTACAACAAAGCCAACATACTGATACTATTTTTAAATATATTATTAGGATATTGGCTTGATTATATATTCAAACATCATAGTGCTGCACTTGTCCTACATTGTTTGTGCTATGGATGTGAATGACAGCTCAAATTATGAGGTTTATTTGGGAGAGATAATTTATAATTTTTATAAGAAATCGAGACATGTGGATGAGCTCTTTTGACTATTTTTGACTATTCTGGAAGATCACATCAACCACATCAGAGAAGTTGTCCATCACCTCTAAAACAACCACCTGATTGTTAAAGCCAAGAAGTGCGAGTTTCACATCACAACCCCTACTTTCCTAGGATATGCCATTAGCCCTGACTTCACCATCCTAATCTGTCTCTACCCTTCATTGTTGAAGTGGATGGCTCCAACATTGGCATAGGAGCAGTCATCTTACATCATCATGGTCCTGCCTCCATTATAGCTGCACCGGTACAGTGGGATATCATGCGACATTGAGCAAGCATCAAGAGCATAAGCCTCCACACCCCAACTTCCCTCAAGATCATATTTATGTGCCTTCTGCTCTGTGCACCTGGCTAATTCAGTTGGTCCATACCTGCCTACACTCCAGTCATTTGGGTGAGAAACGCACCAATCAACTGGTTCAGAACAAGTTCTGTTGACCTTCCCTTCCTCAGAATTAGAGGTCAGCCATTTGATGGTTTGCCGATTAATCGTCATTGTTAGCCGATTGTTGGAACAATTGGTTATCAGCAAAAATCCATTGCGTCCATTGCTAGAGCAGCTGAGAAGGGTCCACTGTCTTTATACAGTATGAGAGCAACCTCTAGAGGTGAAATCACTGATGCCTTATGCTGTTCTTTTTTTTTTTTGACACAGAGTGGGACACTTCAGATGAGGATTTAAAACAGATATCAAAAAGAGGTGTATACAGTCAGGGGTGTGAAGTAACGAATTACAAATACTCACGTTACAGTAATTAAGTATTTTTTATCAGTAATTGTACTTTTTTGAGTAGTTAAAAAATTGTGTACTTTTACTTGAGTACATTTTAAGTGATGTATCGGTACTTTTACTCCGCTATTTTCCTCCGCTTGTGGTCGTTACATGCTTATTTTAATTTTATTTTTTATCCATCAACGTGATTGAATAGAGAGTAATAGGTCTCGTGACTTTCGTCAAATCAAATTGTGCATAGAAAACTTTAACCGCCAACTGTTTATCGTGGCTGCTGGAAGTGCATTCCTCAAGCATCAATTCAGTCGCGTCTTCCTCTATGTTAAGGTAAATTTCGGATTTCAGCTTACTAAATGATTTGTATATATGCTTGACTTTTGATGAGTTTTAGAGCGTGATGCGCGCTGTGAAAAAGTGTGTTGGAAACACTGTTGGAAACACGAATTGAGGACCAATCTGCACCTTATTGATGACCCGTGCCGTGGCATTAATATACTGCATCTGTGCCAGCGCGTGATGTAAGGAAGGTAATGGTACTTTTACTTGAGTATATTTTTTCAGTACTCTTTCCACCACTGTATACAGTACACTACAGTACATGTTTTCATATCATTTTAAAATAATTAATTTGTTAACTAGATGCTGCATTACTGGTACTGACGTCATGGCTGTCGCCAGCCAACGAGTTGGTGTTTTTTCAATGTATGCTTCAGACACGGGTCATGACGAGGCGTTCCCCATAGCGACCCCTAGAGGACGCAGTTCGAAGTTCCCATGAAAGGGAACAGTAGTATGTTTGCCGTCAAGGCTCAGAGAATGTTAACATTAGTAGTACGTCAAGCGGTTCAACAACAACAAATGTGACAAAAATACATGCAAGTCCACCTCAAATGGTTAACTGTTACCATCTATTTGCATTAGTTTATTCCCAGCTGGACACTTTTATGCATTCGTTATTCAGAAAAGTTTAAGCATATTATAGCTAGTGACGTGTGAAAGCGCATTGTTATGTTCATGCAGCCAACAGAGACAAATCAGAAATGCAGAACTTCAAACTCATCTATGCCACTTTTTGTTCATTCTTGAAGTGAACTTTTGCCTGTTTGATGATTAATTTATTATTATTATTATTTTTTTGGATCACCACTTGAATTGAATGCAACACCTCCTGTGTGTTGTCTCATCCATTGAATGACCGCAATATTTTGTTATTTTGATTAGATAATCATCAAGTGTTCTAAAATAGATGCAAATAAAGTGTGAGAGTATAAATACAATATACATATATATATATATATATATATATATATATACACACACACACACACACACACACACACATATATATATATATATATACATACATACACACAAACAAATTATATTGTGAGGAAGATACTTAAAAAGAACTTTGATTTCAAACTCTGAATTGAATGAATTTTAACTAAAAAAGACAAGTAAACAGTCAGTAATAAAATAAGCATAGATAAATGACAAGCAATGGCACAAACAAATACAATAACAAGATACAACTAAAATTCACTGTGGTTTTTCAGGTAGGTATAACAGTAATATTCAGGTACAGAAATACCACAGAAACTGAATAATCTATTTAACTTTAAAATAACACTGGTTGGTCTTCAATGTATAAATAAACATTAATGACAGACAACAGTAGGTTTATTTAGGTTGCTGTCTCTGACCACATGCACAGTGTTAACTTAAGTGTGAACCCGCCCAATCTGGCAACACTGTGCTGGAGTCTACTTTACTGAATGGTTTGACTCTCCTATTGTCAATACAAGATCTCGACCAAAAATGTATGCAACTCTTGATGGAAATAAATCCTGTGATGTTGCATGACGATGTTGAAACAATGCCACAATGAATGCACATTATATAATCTTGGTATTGTCATCCTGGAATATGGACATGGGTACATTTTCCAATATGGTTGTTTGAGAAATGAAAATCCATGCACTGCATCAGTTAGGATTAAAAGAATTGTTGCCAAGCATACAACATGCAAGAAACATATTAATCACGGCAATAATGATTCAATCTTAAAATCTTATGTATTTGCTTATTCAAGACAGTGACTTTTTTGGCCAGGCATTGTATTATGGTCTATATAGTGGTAGTACTGGATGCCTTGAGAGTGAGAATAGTTTGATTCTTGTCTTGACTTTGAGACACATCACTTTCTGATGCCAAGCAAATGTATATTCCACTGTATCAGTATTAATGATACAGCACAACTTCTTCTGGCTTATTCATTTCTGTTGCAGATTACTATCATTACTAACCAGCTCTAGACAAAAACATGTTCAACAGAAGAACCTTAAGGAAGAGATACCTCCTGCTTGTGTAGAGGGGTTGACTCCTTCTTCAAGTGTAAATGACAGGTAGATGAAAGCAGCAGAGATGGAGGGATAAACAGGATTAAGGTTGATGTTAGTTACAGATAAGGTCAGGAGAGCAAGAAACACAAGAGCAAGAACAGATCAGGATTAAATGGGATCAGAAAAGAAAAAAGGTTTGGGAAGATCTCAGTTAGAGGTAGGCGTGGGACATCAACTGTATGCAAACAATGTACACTTTGTACACAACTAACGATTTTAGTCCAGGGCAGCAACATCACATAAACATTTTCTAGAGATATTGGAGTAATTGGAGAAGAATAAAATGCCTAAACACTAGAGCAGAGGTCGGCAACTTGGCATGGGGTAATCACTGGCATGTGAGAAACAGAGATAAAAAGGTACATTTAATTTGGATGAATTTCCTTGCACATGCATACTGATCTACATTTTAAGGTAATGCTTCCTCATTGTTACATAGCCTATTCAGAAATAGGAGCTAAATACTAAGTGTAAGAATTAAAACTGTTAGTCATCAGAAGCTAGAACAAACCGTTTGCGTGACCATTGTGCATCAAAAGATGCTGAAAAGGTGCATCAATAGTGTGATGCGATCTAAAATATTCATAATTAATTATAACTAGTTATGATTAATTATTCATATTTCCCATGAGCTGATTCGCTACATATGTATGTAATTTAAATTCTATTGCCTTTGTGTAGATATTTAAAGATGGGCATCTTTAAGTATGACTGTTGATATGAAATAGTAACACTTCACAATAAGAGTCCATTTGTGACATTAAATCAAGTGTAGCATTAGTTCTGGCAGGTGACGTCAGTCAAGCTGGCATCAGCTGACTCTCAGCTGATCCACGTCTACCTATACAGGAATATGACGCCTATCACAGCATCCTTATATAAGGTCTATTCAGTATTATTCAGCAGCTTTATCGCATTGCTCAGGAGCTAATTACCCTACTCCATCCTCCGCTCCTCCTTTCGTCCACAGTCAGGATTTGACCTTTGGATATACCATTGAATCAGGCTTCTTTATTTTGAATTATGTTGTTACATTAAATTGTCATTTAGAACAATAATGATATCTGCTGCATTTATTTTGGTTCTGTTCTGTTTACGCCAAGGGGGTTATCGCTGCTTTCCCTGCTCTTATCCATGCTAGACTGCATGGATGGTCATGGAGTTTTTTTTTTTTACCCAGAATAGAACCATACTGCCAATCCATTGTATGCTAATTGTTAATCATCTTTGATGATAGTGGTCCTGACAGAACTAAGTTTAATATATTCTGTAGAATTATTGTTCATTGTTAGAGTGAGCTATTATTAATGTTAATAATAACATGAATGCACTATGAACTAACATTAATGATCAATGTATAATTAATAACAATATTTATATTTTTATTCCATTTAAAAAGTAAGGTACATTTTCATGGTTCAGTACATTATTATTATTTTTGTTTTTAAATAAAGTTCAGCTCTATTTTAGTTTTCATTCAGTATCTATTTTAAAAACTATCCATTGATTAATTGGTTATCGGCCAGTGCAGTCCAACCCAGTTATCTTGGTAAAATCCACTAACGGTCGACCTCTACTCAGAATGTCTCAATGACTAGCTGCCCGTTTCCCAGTCTCCAGCCTGGTCCCTCCTAAAACCCCTGGTCACCTCTAACAATCCTTCCCCACCTCCATTGGAAGATGAGACTGCTTACAGAGTTAACGCTCTTCTCAACTCCAGATGTCGTGGAGACTGGGAGGGTTATGGCCCTGAAGAAAGGTTTGAGTCCTGACCTTAACCCTATTGAAAGTCTTTAGAATGTGCTGGAGCAGAGTTGCCAGATTGAATTGAAGATCTCCAGTCGCAGCATAAATGGCTGCCCACTGCTCCGGGTGTGTGTTCACGGTGTGTGTGCACTTAGGATGGGTTAAATGCAGAGCACTAATTCCGAGTATGGGTAACCATACTTGGTCACATGTCACGTCACACTTTTTTTAGTAAACTTCAAGTGTTAGCTTTCAGGAAGAAATGTGTTATTCTTATCGATGTTAGAATTTTTCAATTCTGTATACAGGTTTCTTAACATTCCACACACAAATTAATGATGGTGATGAACAAACTACAACATTAAGTAAAAACATCACACATAAACACACTGTGTGGTTGACACTGGAAATTTGGTATAAAAAAAAATCTAATTAAAACTCAAAATTAATTTTTATGAAAAGTATACAACTAATATACAACATAATTATGGCAAATTTAATAAGACATATTTAAGATTCTGCACTATTTTTAATTTACTAATTAAAGCGCCCCTATTATGCTTTTTTGAATATTACCTTTCATGTAGTGTGTAATATAGCTGTTTGTGAATGTAAAAGGTCTGCAAAGTTTTAAAGATCAAAGTGCATGACAAATAAAATTATTGTCTCCCAAAAGAAAAAATCAATTCTGAACTGCTGAAACAAGTTGTCAGAAATTCCAGTCTCATTTCCGTAACTTAAGGTATGTAACAAATTGGATAATGCCAGCCTGCGGTTTTCACTGGCAGCCCAGGAACAACGTCTACTTGGACCTGCCCTTAAACATTTTAGTTTGTTGTGTTGTCGACATGTCAAGAAGAAGCTGTTTTCTGCGTTGCAAAAGCAAATTGTCTTTGTGTACAGTTCCAAAGGATAAGGATGAGAAGAGTCAGTAGTTTAAATTATCACAGCGATACCACAGCAGTGTAAGCTTTTGTTGCGTTTCCGTAATTTTACTGACAACTGCTTCTCAAATCTTGGCGAGGATTTCCAAAATACTATTAAAGATAGAACAGTACCCACTTTATTTGAACCAACTTGCTCCTCTGAATCACAACCTGTAAGTAAGATTAATTCTTTATGTATATATTTTCTACTAAGTGTTCAAAATACATTGTTCCCTTTCAGTCGGTCACTCTCGACGTCACGTTGGTGATGACCGACGAATTGGGATCTCGCCAGAGAGACCAATCCATTTCGAGTGTAACTAAACGAGTCAATGGACATTGGCATGCGGATTTTGCATCTGGCTGTCACACCCCGCAGCGCGGGTATAAGAGGCAGCAGGTGCACCGCATTAATTCATCCTTTCGCTTCGGAGCCGAGCGGTAGTGCATCACTGGTGGGGCCGCTTTGGGGTTCGCGGGCATTCCCTCGGTGGAGCGGTTTGTGGAGCGGTCTGTCTCCCCTCACGGGCCTGCAAGTATTCGTCAGGCTTAACTGGCAGTGCTTACAGAGCTTGTAGGGAGGCGGCTTCTGCCCTCCACGCCATGGTGTTACTGCAGGTCCATCAGGTCAAAGCCCTGAGAGACCTGCCTGAGGCTGGCCACGACCTGGCGGTTCTACATGAACCTGTGTGCTGCGACGGACCTCACGCTTCGAGCGACGAAGGTGACCTCACAGTCTCTGGGTCATGCGATGTACACGCTAGTGGTCCAGGAGCGCCATCTCTGGCTGTGTCTGGCCGACATGAAGGAGCATGATAAGGTGCAGTTCCTGAATGCTCCCGTGTCACAGACCGGCCTTTTCGGCGACGCTGTCGAGAGCTTTGCCCAGCAGTTCTCGGCGGCACAGAAACAGACTGAGGTAATCAAACACATCATGCGCCGGAGGAAACCTGCTGCTTCCACCCTGGCTGCAGCCCCTCAGCCTGCTCGTCGCCGTGGGCGCCCCCCTGCGGCTGCCCCTGCTCCCACGCAGCAGCAGCAGCCTTCCAACAGGCAGCGTCGTGGAGCCAGTCGCAGATAGGACGCCCAGCCCGTCCAGGCCCCCGCCAAACCTGGCGGGAAGCGCAAGTGCAAGAGGCCCTGAGACGGGCTACTCATTGATGGAGGAGACTGCTTGTTGGAAGATGGTGATCACACCACTCCTGCCCCCGGAGGAGGGCCGGGTGGAGAATCTTTTGTTTTGTTTTGTTTTGTTTTTGTTCTGCCGCTGGCACAGCAGCCAGCGGTACCCAAAACCTCAATTAAAGAGCGGTTTCCTCAGTCTCTGGGTCTCAAGAGGAGGAGAGTTGTGAACTGTGCATCACAGGGTCACTTCCCTCCTCCTCTCTCGCCAGTGGGCAGCAGTGGGTTGCCCAGGAGCACCCAATTATCACAGCGATACCACAGCAGTGTAAGCTTTTGTTGCGTTTACGTCATTTTACTGACAACTGCTTCTCAAATCTTGCTGCCCCACCGTGGGTACGTCGGTGGCTCCGTTCGTTCCTCTGGCACGGTCTCTCGGAGCCAGGTTAGCGCTGCCCAGTCCATCTCGGTGGCTCCTGCGGACCATCAGACTCGGTTATGCGATTCAGTTCGCCCGGCATCCCCCCAAGTTCAGGGGCATCCGGTTCACTTCAGTCAAGGCTGTCGATGCCCCTGTCTTGCGTGCGGAAATCGCAGTCCTGCTGGCGAAGGACGCGATAGAGCCGGTCCACCGCTGGCCCAGGATCACTTCCCTCCTCCTCTCTCGCCAGCGGGCAGCAGTGGGTTGCCCAAGAGCACCCCTCCTGCCCATTCGTGGAACCAGGTAAGGGCTGTAGCATTCGAGTCCCGCTTCATGTCGTCACACTGTCACAAGCCTCAAGCCGGGACCCTGTGTTTTCTCCCGCACAGGGAGGAATCAGGTGAGTGTTACACTTCACACCCAGACTCCGCCCTCTGCCGTCACAGGCAAGGCCGTCACAAGCCTCGGGCCGAGTCCCTGTGTTCCACCAATTTCAAGTGTTAGCTTTCAGGAAGAAATGTGTTATTCTTATCGATGTTTGAATTTTTCAATTCTGTATACAGGTTTCTTAACATTCCACACACAAATTATGATGGTGATGAACAAACTACAACATTAAGTAAAAACATCACACATAAACACACTGTGTGGTTGACACTGGAAATCTGGGATAAAAAAAAAATCTAATTTAAAACTCAAAATAAATTTTTATGAAAAGTATACAACTAATATACAACATAATTATGGCAAATTTAATAAGACATATTTA